TACTATAGATAGTTCGTAGCAGGTCAGCTGAAGCAAGCCGGCCTCGACAACACAGTCGATCGATTTGAACGAGGAGCAGTGCTGTCGTGCAACGCTAAGTCAGTGACAAGCCGTGGCCTGTGAGGAGCTGGACGTATGCATGGAGAAATGGCTGAGTGAGCGGCGCCTCTGGCTTTTCGGCAATCATTTGCCTCTTCTTCCTCGCAAGTAAGTGTCCTCCTGTGTCTTCCTCTTCATATTTGCTCGTAGCTAGTGTAGGCTTGCAGTTGGTCTTCTGACCAGCAGGGATGAACAGTAATTCTCGTTCGGGAGTCTGACAGGGGCTATTTCGAACTGACCTTGGGCGTGAGATTCCACGAGAAACATCCGACAAAAACTGTTACAGAGTTATTGATTATTTGTGCTGATTGAACATAATCTATATCAAAAGACATACGAATGACATAATTAATAATTTTGTCACGTTATCATAAACTTTTCGTGATCTCGTGGATTAAAACTAATCTGAAGTACGTCCCACAAGACTTTCTAGTATCCTGTTGTAAATATAGCAACTTTGAGCATTAAATGAAAATTTCAAGACATCGGAAATTTATATTTACTTCAACATATAAATTTATTACGATTTCAATATATTACTATGTTATGAATAAGGAAGTGAAATTTAATAATAATAATAAGTCTGTGGCATTAATATTAACCGAGCAACATCGCTGGTCTGACTTTTTTACGGAGCGTTTGCCCACCTCTGGGCTAGTGCCCAGACCTCTCACTAAGAAGGCCTATCTGGGGTAGAAGACTCTGTCGATTTATGTAAGAATTTAAGATATAATAGTTGAACTGCGATATATTTCTTGGGGCAGTCAGACTTTCGTTTATTCCGCTACATCTTTTCTCTTTATTTTCCTCCATAATTTCCTTCCGAATATTCGGCTTCTACAGTCTCAGGGAATATAAATATTAAAATGTATCTGTATTTTTAATTCCAATTGCGAAAGAGTATTGAGTCATTTGCGTAGAAAGTATTGTAAATCAATATTATAGGGTTTCGTTATTTTTTTATATATTAATCTGGCGTCCTTTAGCTGTGATTTTGTTTTCATCGGTTACGCCTGTCTAGCTTCTGAAGACAGTATCAACCAAATATAATGTGTTGCCAAATTAAATATAACTAAACTATTCTATTTATATTCGATGCATCTATTATCTGAAACAGTTGAGATTACGATACCCGGTACATGCGAGATTCATCTGGTGTATTTTTCCTTTAAACATCCCCCCCTTTCCCCCCGCTCCGGTGCAAATGCCCTCTCAAAGAACATATTCTCCTCTTTTTACATCACCATAATAATATTCGGCAAAGAGTACAAATTATGTCATTTAAATAACTCTTTATTATGAACAGCATATTCTGGTTGCATATTTCCACACCTACGTGTCATCATCAGACCAACTCATTTGTTTACTGGAGTTGCTAAGTGCGCTACTGTATTATAGAGCCTATAAAACGTAATGATACTGGTTCTAATGTCGTCAAATTGGTCCAGTAGTACATATGATGCAAATAATTGGACCAGCTTAAAAACCGACAGCAGCATACAACAGCGACAGATAACACCGATGCAGTAACGACGCATCCTGCGTCGAGAAAAACGTTAAAAGTAGAATTGGGAAACAACCAAGACTTTCTACGACTAGTAATTAAAACAACAACAACAAATTAACTCGTAAACTAAATCAAATCACACATAAGAAGGACGCTGTGACGACAGATCCTAGAGCAAAAATGAACATCACCAAAAACAATATAAGGAAAGTAGGTTACACTAGAACTGTAAAATAGCACAACAGTACATCTACCTAAAACAACATAAATATACACACCAACAAAAAGCCCATAACAAAATAAGAGAAAGACAACAAAAATAGTGCACATAAAACACGTATTATGCGCTATGTATAATATATAGAAGAGAAAAATAAGAGGTATATTTAACAATGGTTTTAATCATAATAATTTTAAAACAAGTTTCAACAGCAACAAATACAAACTAATTAGTGAGGTCATCAAAACATGTAATAAATGTAGGCATTTAGATTATTTAAAACAAGACCATAAATATAATTATGTAAATATAATACTACATGGCAACCAAAACAAAACAAAGGAAATTTGAGGATCATAGCGCAAAGCAGATACAAGGTATCATAACATATCAGGTAAATATAACACGTTTTAGCAAATTTGATTATGTTTTTATACAAAACAGCTGGCCGCTTAGCTACTGAAGTAAAAAAATGTGGAGGCTAAATGATGACACGCATGTCGAAACATGTATCCACAATATATTGTCCATAATAAGGTTGTATATGGACGATAAATGAGAATAGTAATAAAACATAACTGGAATTCTCCACTGCAAGACAATACATTATGAAGGTCCTTATTATATAATATTCCCACCTTCTCGCTCTCCCACCCTCCTGTTGCTCTCGCAACTCCTGTTCTTAGGTAAAGTCAATTGTCGCATTTCCCTCAGTCTGAGACCCAACTATTCGCACCCACTTAAAGAAAATAATAAAATTATCGTTCTGAAGTTTCATTCTTATTTTTGTAGACGCGAGATGGGTACATAAAATATTCTGAACTGAAGCTTTCAATCTCGTCCTCACTTATTCGTAAGGACAATTATAATCTATAACTGTCCTTTCCAGCATTTACTTTCACATCAGCCTCCTTAGCACATTTGTGCAAAGGATTTGACTAAGATGTGTCATTAAAATGATACATATTTTTGGGCATTTTACTTCGTCTTACTTTAAAAACAGCATTTTGGTAACTGCCTGCTTCCGTCATTGGTGAAATCACACAACCTAATCAGTTAGGTCAGAAGTTCCCAAAGTGTGGGGCCCAGTTGATTGTGTACTTTCACTTGATGAAGGACGTAGACCGAGCCTCCGAAACGTGTCGACTAATAGTCTGCTATTCCTCACAGTGAGTGTTTCTGTCTTGTCTGGTTATACTACTTTATAATGCTTTTAAAACCATGCGCGTAGTTAACAAACATAAAACACGGAACTAAAGGCATAATGCTTGAACTGTTAGGGTCTGAAAGAAAGCTAAACATGCTGCTTTATCCCCCCTGGTATTTGTGAAGAAAAGGATATCGATCGTCACAGGTTACGTCAGTAATGACGTCATGATTTCCACAGTGCCGTACATGACATTTCCTGGCCAGCTCGGAAATATTACACAACATTTCAAATCATGTTTTGATTAATTTCTTGTCTTCTGCGCAGGTGTCAATAAAAATATCTGCATGTATATTATAGGAGAAAAAACATCTTGTTTGCTTCTCTGCTTCATTTCAGTCCCTCGCTTCAGTACTAGAACGCTGTTTTAGTCTCTACTAGAAGCATCTATTATACACTATTTTCATTGGCCTGATGCATGGCGTTCTTTTTTAACCTTTAGTTCGTGCAACCTCTTACGTGTTCGTTACTTAACATGAAATGGATCATTAACACACATGTGCCTACGCGAATGTGTTCAGAAAAAGCATCTATAGCACGAGACAACGTCTAACCAAAACCTCTATTAGCGTCGCGCAACTTACCACGCACGCGGTTAATCGAGAGACACAGTCTCACATCTTT